TGTCGCATTTGTTACATAAATATGTAAACTACGATGGCGTTATCATGTGATACTAGAGCAACCATAAGAGAAATCACTCAACGATAAAAATGTCCATAGGTATAAAAAAGAATCAAATCATTAACCTCCTGAAATATAAGTCCAACAAATCCCGTTTCTGCGATGTTTGTTTTGTGATAACCTTATATCGCATAAATAACACCCCTGCATCCCCTGTGTCATGGGGCGCAAATTGCAAAAGACGGACAAAGTAAAATATACTTAAAGCAGATAACCAACGGGAAAAATGGCCTCTCAGCAATAATACCAAGCTTTAACTTCAAGCGTTTGTTTATACATCGGAAGAATGTCATGTAAAAATTTGTTTGATTTGCGAGTTCGTCACAGAGGTTAAAATTATTAATTAAACCACAGTTGAATACAATGGTCTGAATATTATTATTATTTCATTCTTATTAAATAAAGACGTGCGTATCCTCACCTTTTCAAGAAAATGGGGCGACTCGTTCTTAATTCGATCAATAAAAAATTGTTATGATAAACGTAGATAATACACAGCGCGAGAGAAAACGAGAAAAAAACAAATAGCGAGTATAACATCGAACGTGCGACCGTCGGACCGCGTGTTAACGCCTTATTAACCGCATGGCCACGGACGGTTATATCTTAAGCTAGTGATAAAATGTTACTATACTGTGTTAATATTTTTTGTGACCATTTGGCCATTTAGCGAAAAAACTCAAAGCGGATTCGTACACCACAAATATAGGAGTACATTATTGTACAACATTTAAATCATTTTAAACTAGAATTCTTTGAAATGACGTCACCAAATTGTTGGTGGGGATGATTAATCAAATTTGGGTTGGCGTTTAACCATCTACATATTATTCCTAAAAGTTACAAAATTTGTCAACAATTGGTCGAGTAGTATGGGAGATTATGGGTCTAATAAAAATCGACACGGACACCAGACAGACAGACACACGGGCATACTCTAGGGATCATGAAACGTCGCGAAATCATAAAAATGGCCATTCGTCCGATGGACTCGATTACTGTACTCACTTCTTTCTTTCTTTACTATACTTCTTTCAAATTATTTCATATTCTTTCAAATTCTTATAAAGTCTTTCAAATTCTTTCAGACTCTTTCAAAGAAGAGAAGCCCCGAAGATTTTTTAAATTTTTTTCAAAAATAAAACAGGATCACGAAGAAACTTCAAATTCGTTCTAAAATGAAATACCAGAAGCCCGTAAGATTTTCAGGTTCTTGAAATAGGCCACCAAATTTATGCAAAATTCTTAAAAAAATATATCAGGTGCCCTTCTTCAAAATTTTTTCAAAAAGGAAAGAACAGAAGTCTCCAAAATTCTTTCAAATTCGTAGCAAAGCAAAACACGACAGGCCAAAATTAGTAAAAAAAAAACAGAGTCCACCAAAATTCCTTCAAATTCTTTTAAAGTTGAAGCCCTGAAGATTCTTTTTTTTTTCGAAAATAAAAGAGCGAAAATCACCAAGCTTCTACAAAATTCGCTCTAAAACAAAATACCAGAGACCTACGATTTTTAAATTCTTAAAAATCATCAAAGGCCACCAAAATTCTTTAAAAAACAACAGACCAAGAACCCCCATGATTCTTCAAAATTCTTTCAAATTATTTCATATTCTTTCAAATTCTTTCAGGCTCCCTCAAAAACCAAACACGAAGCTCTGAATATGCTTTAAATTTTTTTCAAAAATAAAACAGACAGGGTCACGGAGAATATTTCAAATTAGTTCTAAAATGAAACACCAGAAGCCCCTAGGATTTGCAGATTCTTAAAAAACAGTAAAATTCTTAAAAATATATATCAGGTGTTCTTCAAAATTTTTTAAAAAATAAAAGAACAAGAGCCTCAAAAATTCTTTCAAATTCGTAGTAAAACAAAACGCCAGAGGTCAAAATTAGTAAAAAAAAACCAGAAGCCACCAAAATTCTTTCAAATTCGTTTAAAAACAAAACACCAGAGCCACCAAGATTTTTAAGTTCTTAAATACATCAGGGGCCACCAAAATTCTTTAAAAAACAAAAGAGCAGGAACCCACACGATTCTTCAAAATTCTTTCAAATTATTTCATATTCTTTCAAATTCTTATAAAGTCTTTCAAATTCTTTCAGGTTCTTTCAAAAATCAAACACCGAAGCCCTGAAGATACTTTAAATTTTTTTCAAAAATAAAACAGAGCCGGTCCCCAAGAATATTTCAAATTAATTCTAAAATGAAACACCAGAAGCCCCTAGGATTTGCAGATTCTTAAAAAACTGTAAAATTCTTAAAAATATTGCAGGTGCTCTTCTTCAAGATTCTTTAAAAAATAAAAGAACAAGAGCCTCAAAAATTGTTTCAAATTCGTAGTAAAACAAAACACCAGAGGTCAAAATTAGTAAAAAAACGGAGGCCACCAAAATTCTTTCAAATTCGTTTAAAAACAAAACGTCAAAGCCTTAAACATTCTTTTTTTTTTCGAAAATAATAGAGCGAATATCACCAAGTTTCTACAAAATTCGTTCTAAAACAAAAAAGCAGAGCGCCTAAGATTTTTAAATTCTTAAATATCACCAGAGGCCACCAAAATTCTTTAAAATTCTTTAAAAAACAAAAAAGCAGGAATCCACATGATTCTTCAAAATTCTTTCAAATTATTTCATATTCTTTCAAATTCTTATAAAGTCTTTCAAATTCTTTCAGGCTCTCTCAAAAATCAAACAACTCTAAGCCTTGCAGATTCTTTAAATTTTTCTCAAAAATAAAACAGAGACGGTCACCAAGAATATTTTAAATTCGTTCTAAAATGAAACACCAGAAGCCCCTAGGATTTGCAGATTCTTAAAAAACTGTAAAATTCTTTAAAAAATAAAAGAACAAGAGCCTCAAAAATTCTTTCAAATTCGTAGTAAAACAAAACGCCAGAGGTCAAAATTAGTAAAAAAAAACAGAGGCCACCAAAATTCTTTCAAATTCGTTTAAAAAAAAACGTAGAAGCCTTCAAAATTCTTTTTTTTCGAAAATAAAAGAGCGAAAATCACCAAGTTTCTACAAAATTCGTTCTAAAACAAAACACCAGAGCCCCCAAGATTTTTAAATTCTTAAATATCAGAGGCCACCAAAAATTCTTTAAAATTCTTAAAAAAAAGAGCAGGAACCCACATGATTCTTCAAAATTTTTTCAAATTATTTGATATTCTTTCAAATTCTTATAGATTTTCAAATTCTTTTAGGCTCTCTCAAAAATCAAACGCCGAAGCCCTGAAGATTCTTTAAATTTTTTTCAAAAATAAAACAGAGACGGTCCCCAAGAATATTTCAAATTCGTTCTAAAATAAAACACCAGAACCCCCTGGATTTGCAGATTCTTAAAAAACTGTAAAATTAAAAAAATATATATATCAGGTGCTCTTTTTCAAAATTCTTTAAAAAATAAAAGAACAAGAGCCTCAAAAATTCTTTCAAATTCGTAGTAAAACAAAACGCCAGAGGTCAAAATTAGTAAAAAAACCAGAGGCCACCAAAATTCTTTCAAATTCGTTTAAAAACAAAACGTCCAAGCCTTCAAAATTCTTTAAAATTCTTTAAAAAACAAAAGAGCAGGAACCCACATGATTCTTCAAAATTCTTTCAAATTATTTCATATTCTTTCAAATTCTTATAAAGTCTTTCAAATTCTTTAAGGCTCTCTCAAAAATCAAACACCGAAGCCCTGAAGATTCTTTACATTTTTTTCAAAAATAAAACAGAGACGGTCCCCAAGAATATTTCAAATTCGTCCTGAAATGAAACACCAGAACCCCCTAGGATTTGCAGATTCTTAAAAAACTGTAAGATTCTTAAAAAGATATATTAGGTCCCCTTGTTCAAAATTCTTTAAAAAAAATAAAAGAACAAGAGCCTCAAAAATTCTTTCAAATTCGTAGTAAAACAAAACGCCAGAGGTCAAAATTAGTAAAAAAAAACAGAGGCCACGAAAATATGTAGAAAAGCGAAAATCACCAAGTTTCCACAAAATTCGTTCTAAAACAAAATACCAGAGCCCCCAAGATTTTTAAATTCTTAAATATAATCAGAGGCCACCAAAATTCTTTAAAATTCTTTAAAAAACAAAAGAGCAGGAACCCACATGATTCTTCAAAATTCTTTCAAAAATGAAACACCAGACGCCTACAAGGTCCTTTTAAATTCTTTGACAAATAAAATAAAAAACACCACAAAGATTCATTACGCTCAGGATGTAAAAATCTATTTTTGAAAATATTTCTGAAAAAAATTGTTTGTATTTTAAAAATTTGTATTAGGAAAGAGTTAAAGCTTACCACAATTTGTCTTTTTTAAAGACAGTTGTATGAAAATATTTTTAGCCATCAGCGGATAAATCACGTTAAAAATAGTTGTCTACCATGGCAAAACTGGGCGTCAGATCTGTTTGATCTATTCCGAATGATAGTGTATGAGCTCTTTTAATAATTAAATGAAACACGGAACAAAAGATCAGAGGTCGTCAATGCACCAATCAATAACTTCCTGCTGCAAAATCCCCCACTTTTTCATAAATTACAGAAGCAAAAATCCAATTAGGCATCCCATCTGGTGTATTGATCCATCCATCTGAATTGCATAAATTAACACCTCGCGCAGCGTCGCTCTTCCAATTACACGAATTACCGGCAATCGAGCCGCCATCAAGCAACCCCAAGTAACGATTTCTTCAACACTAGAACCGCTATAGTGCAAACATCTTCGTAATTATGCACCGAGTCCACCGATAAGGTAATCGATACCCTCTAGAACAAGTCCCAGCATCGTTTCTCCAAACTAACGGTCCGTCGATCTCTTCCGCTTTAGCGAAACTTGTTTTTGCGCGCTAGACCGGCCATTCATCGGCGAAAGAACTCCTTCGGGGAACACACAAACAAGAAAACAAACATCGCTTCACTTTTCCTAAATGAATGTAATTCTTTCAGGGTTTCTTCAGGAGGAGCATACAGAAGCAGATCGAGTACAGATGTTTGCGTGACGGCAAATGCCTCGTTATACGTCTCAATAGGAATCGATGTCAGTACTGCAGGTTCAAAAAATGCCTCTCCGTTGGAATGTCCAGGGACTGTGAGTATAATGGACTCGATTTATTTGCCGTGCGCTGACAGCAGATGCTCTTTATGGCACCACGCGAACGACGTAATGGATGAACTTGAACGCGAAACTCCGGCTGGAAACAAAAGAGAACATAATTGGCTAAAAACAAGTACGACGTAGAAGTATTTCTACTCTCGTCTAATTTTATATCGTGTTTTAACGGTGTTCTGCCAGTAATATGCTTAGCGCTTATGTTAAATGATAAATGTAGGATAATAGTAGTTTCCTTTGCTTTATTAATCGGTCACTGCACGAACACAACACACTACACACACCCGCTACAAAAAATTTCAACCAAGTATAAACGTGTTTTACTAATTGTGTTGCATTTTCTTTGCACAAAAGGAACTACATTTAATGATCTTGCTGTTTAAATCCTAACTGTGTATGTATCTGTAGATCTAGCGAAAATAGGTAAAAATTCATAGAACCCGAAGAGAACAATTATTCATTTTTAGTCTACTCTGCAAATTTGAAAAGATTTAAGAACAGAGATTGAGTGCGCAACGCAGATGCCAGTCATATTTCTCGCTATTTCCTCGAAACCCCTCTAGAAAAGAGAAGTAGCGGAGTAGAAATTCAAATGTCATAATTATCCTTGACAGATGACATGTTAACCATGTTAAATTAAACTTTAAAAATGTCTCAGGTTGACAACTCTCGTGAAATATCAAATATATATATCAATCTCAAAACCAAGAATAGGTTATTCTTATCGCAAATTTAAAAAGTTTATAATAATACATTGTATTGGTACAGTTGAAATATTACCATTTACATCAACTTCAGATTTATTGCCACAAAAAGTTTGGCACTTTTTCATATTGGTCGTGCCATTAACATTTAAGTTCAGTTAGAGTTGAAGCTAAATAAAGTTTTTCAAAATCTTTATCTCGCACCCGCAGTTAAAATGTCAATATTTCAAAAATTACTAAACTATGTTTAAAAACTTGGACCTAAAATTAAGTGCTTTAGTTAAAAAATCCACTATAAATGCCACAAGTGTTTCCGCGTATCAGCCAAAAGTTTGTGCAGCTAAAATATTAATTTTTTTCATTATATTGCCAAATGAGTAGTTGTAGGTCTTCTCTGAATACAAAATCTAGAAAATTTCGGTTGGTTTACTTTTGCCAGAAGATGAAGTTGACAAGTTTTCGTCTTTGGTCACAAGAATTTTTGAGATAGTCGCATAGCTATATTCAATGTAACAAGTGTTATAAACACCTCTTTAGACACGAGTTTATTTAGGCACAAGCGGAGCGAGTGTTTAAAAAATAAGTGTCTACAGAGCTTTATAAATGCGGATCATTTATATTCTTTTTTCTATGACCTTAAGACCACAATGATCTAAATTCTGAAGATTATTAGATATCCTACAAAAAAATTGGTCGAAAGTTGTTTCCACAGAACTTCTCTCGCCCCTGCAGTACAATGAAACATATCCAGCATTTTCGAGTTGAGTTTTTTCTTTACACAATTTTGTGATGACGTCATCATTTTTGCAAGGACACGTCTGTCAACTTGGATTGGTTCAGTGTAATAATAAAAATAACAGTATTATATTCCAAAAATTTTCTGGGAAAATGGAGTGAGCCGTTCCTGATTTAATCAATAAAATAAATTCCCATTCATTAATTTTTTTGAGCCACCTGTTTAAGCAAATCTAGAAAATATAAATGCAATAATAAATCACAAGTACAAACCCATCATATTTTGCACATTTTGGGTAGAATTTATTCGGCAAAATTTTGAGATGACGTCATCAATTTTTTAGGGGCAATAAACACAAATTTATTATATAAAGTAAATTGATTGATTAATTTTTTGAAGTCACTCTGTATAAGCAGATCTAAAAAATATTAATGCAATGGTAAATTACAAGTATAGACTAATCATATTTTGCACATTTTAGATAGGATTTATTCGGCAAAATTTACCATGCTTACAATAACTTTCCATCGTCTCCAAAATTCCAAAGGATTCAGTTTTGCAATTCATTAATTTTTTGAAACATCCTGTATAAGCAAGTCTAAAAAAATATTAATGCAGTGATAAATCACAAGTATAGAAAAATATTTTGCACATTTAAGACAGGATTTATTCATCAATATTTTGAGGTGACGTCATCAATTTTTTAGAGAGAATGGATAAATAAATACATTTTGATCAAAAATTTACCATGTTTATGATAACTCTAAAACATCTCTAAGATTTCAAAGCATTCGGTTTTGCAGTTCCTGATTAAATAAATACAATATATTCACGCATTAATTGACTTTTTGTGACACCCTGTATAAGCAAATCCACAAAATATGAATGGAATGATAAATTACAAGCATATCATACTTTGGACATTTTAGATAGGATTTGTTCGGCAAAATTTTGAGCCAACGTCATCAATTTTTTGGAGAAGATAAGCAAATATATTTTGAATAAAAAATGTATAATGATTATAATAATTTTAAAACATGTACAAGATTTCAAAACATTCGGTTTTACAGACTGAAAATTAAATTTCAAATGTTTTATAATTTTGATTTTTTTCCAAAAATCTGGACGTTTCGGGTAAAAACTTAATTCGGAGTCGTAAACTACGTGTCTAGGACTATGTTATTTTATATAATTTAAAACGCATTTACTATGTACAATTTTGAAGTGACGACATCACATTATTTGTGGGGATGATTACACAAATTTTGGTTAGCGTTTTAACATCACTATATGATACCCATAATGCTTAAGTACAGAATTTGACAACAATCGACCCAGTACTTTCGGACATTATCTGTCTAATAAAAATCCGGGACGGCAGATAGACGGACAGACGGGCAGACGGACGGACGGACGGATACACGAACAGACGGACAGGCGGAAACGGGAGACCCACTTCTTCGTACTCTAGGGGTCGAGAAAATGTAAAAGTAGAGAGTCGACCGACGAACTCGATTACAATACTTCTTCGTTTACGTTCGGAAGTAAAAATGGTCGAACGTTATTTCGGCAGAACTTCCCTCGCTCTTAAAATATAATTCAAAAAATTTCGCTTCTTTCAAAAATAAAAAATCTGATTTTGCGATTTTTATTTTGTAATAACTTCTTAAAGTAAAAACCAGTGGTGTAAATTCCAACGGAGCACACGTGTGGACAATACTGAAAGGCGATAATAGGAAAAAATGTATTTTCGGTTTCCTAGTACATATGTTTAACTTCGACTGTTTATGTTTATACTTCGAAAGAATTCTATTTTTTTCTCCGAAAAACTAGATGTCTAACGTAAACACAAATTTGGAGAACATTTGTTCAGCAAAATTGTAAGATAACGTCAACATATTTTGGGGAGGCCATAAACGAATAAATTTTGATAACGATATATCACGCTTCCTACAACCTTGAATTATTTGCAATTAATCTCTAAAATGTTGTTATAAAATTTTGATTTTTTTCCCAAAAGTTTAGATGCCTACAGTAAAAACTGAACACGGATTCATAAATCGCACAAGCAGGATTATGTTATTCTATAAATTACAAGAAGCAGAATATTCAGCAAAATTATACGTCACCTTTTTTTGGGGGGCATAAACGAAAACATTTTGATTAAGTTCAATGAAAGTTAAATTGCAGTATGTTGTTTTAAAATTTAGATTTTTTTTTCAAAAATGCGAATGTCTAGACTCTAGAATAAAAACTCAACATGTATTCATAACCGCAAATGCAGGAGTATGTTACTTTATAAAATTTAAATAACATTTACTACTGTAAATTTTAAAGATGACGTCATCCCATTGTTGGTGGGGGTGATTAGACACATTCTGGTTAGCGTGTTACCATCTAAACGATATTTCTATAACACACAATCATATAAAATTTGAGTAGTTTCGAAGATTACCTGCCTAATAAAAATTGACAAAGATTGAGTTGGACAGACAGACAGACAGACGGACGGACGGAAACGGGAGACCTATTTTTCCTACTCTAGGGGTCATGGAACGTCAAGAAAACATGAAATAGCCAATCGCCCGATGGAGTCGATTCTGGTACCTAAAAAATTACTAAAACATGGCCTACTAACGTCTACAGAGATCGAGATATAATATATCAAATAATATTTTTACAATAAAATTTTTGTGATCACGTCATCTACTTTTTAATGCGCGTTCTATTTAATCAACACGTATAAATAATTCAAACAAATACGAATACCTATATTACTAAACTCTAAATAACGAGACATATGACATTCTAAATTCCAAGCAAAATGCATTTAATTAAACCGTGAAATAACGTAATCAAATTTTTGGAAGGGATGAACAAATGATTTTCGATTAGCAATGTTTGAAGCGTGTGCAAAACTTCAGAAAAATTGGTTTTGCACACTCTAGGTAAGTTAGATTGTAAAATTTTGTTTTACCATAATTTTCCCAAAGCCTGCACACGCAGTATTAAAAATATGATTCGCTAAATGACGAGTATACAGGAATATTATTTTTTAAGAAAAGGTTACTAGTACAATTTTTAATTTATTTCCAACAATATAGCTATCTAAGAAAAAGGTAGGCGTGGATTAATAAATTTCAAATATACAGGCATACTTTTTTGTAAAATTTAAATAGAATTTACTTATAATTGTAAAAAAATTCATTACTCATCCGCTTTTCGGGGAACTATTGTGTTTTTAACATTGCAAATATACCAAAAGATTCTTTTTTGTTAAAATCTGACAAAGAAAATATGTAATGGCTCCAATATCCTTTATATTACATTGTGTTAGATCGGATGATTTTTTAAATGTTTGCTCTAGTTACTCATGATACTTACATCAGCAGTGAAATTGAAACTGCTAACGTAACAGTTATATGTAACTAGAGCAGAAATTTAAAAAATCACCAAGTACTTTTTATGTGTAAATATGAAACTGAGTAAAGAAAAACATACGTTTAAAGTAATTTACCGCTATTAATATCCCAGAAAAA